AACTTATTAACTTTACTTTTCTCTGTTTTTAATCAAAATCACTAGTATCACTCTCTTTAAATGCCACATAATTAAGCTCGGTCAATGGCCAGAGGGATTATAAAAATTGGTTTTGAAGAAGTTGAGGTGTCTGGATGAAAATCCGTAAAGTGTAAGGATCGGGATGTCAAAACAATACAAGTACGAGTGTCTATTAGGCTATTCTGCCAAATAAAAAATGAGTTCTAGTGGAGAAAACGAAAGGAGAATACATGTTCGGAGTTGTTCAACAGCATAGAGATGAAAGTGAAGCATCAAATCGTATACGTTGCCCATAAGCTGCAGCAGTCCCATAGTTAACAGGGGAGACCAAGAAAAGTACGATGCTTCTGCAGCAAGATCTGCTCGAATAACAAGCAGGAACAAATTTTGCATTGAACCCTCTCCTATCAAGTCCTCTGGTTGTTTGAATTACGGAAAAGCTAGAGCTTTTCTAAAGAATTGGAAGGAAGTCATTATGACACACAATTTTAGTGACTATATCTTGAAAAACCTAATTATGAATAGACCAAAAGGAAACATTGGGCTGTCTTTTCAGGTTATGCTAAATTTCAGCTTTATCTAATCTTTAACACGTTTCCTAGGCAGTGTTGGTTAAGCCATTATGCCACTATTAAATGTCATTGAACAAGGCCTCCGAAAGTAAACTAAAACCAATATCTCATAACATTCATGTTAGCTTATAGCTTCTAGTTTTCCTACTTGAACTACTTAGTACCTGAAAGTCTTGAACTTGCTTTTGTTGCTCTGCTTGCAATCTGCCAACTGTACTTAAGAACTCCCCAACTATAGACTCTATGCGCTCAGTAACTGCTTCCGCCAGAGCTTTTCCTAAGAAGAATGCATCAAGGATATTCTTACTCTCATTTTCACCTGCAAAAGAGATGTTTTTAGCCAAATGGTTCAAGAGTGAAAGATATGCAGGAATCTAGAGGAGACTGTGATGAAACAACAAAATTAGTTAAAAATTACTGTTGAAATCCAAAAGCAAACCCCATAGACTCCTCCCTCCCCACCCACCCAAGACAAAAGCAAGTGGAAAAAGAAAGTTAAGAGTCTTAAGACACACCAAAAAGAATGGGAAGAACTGAAGAAAGGTGTATTCACAATCTCACGCTACAAACCAAGTTTCTTTTAAACACCTACAAATCAACAACAACAACAACAACCACCCAGTAAAAATTCCACAAGTGAGGTCTGGGGAGGGTAGAGTGTACACAGACCTTACCCCTACCCCGGAGGGATGGAGAGGCTGTTTCTGAAAGACCCTCGGCTCAAGAAGAGGAAAGTAAACAATAGACAATAGACACTAGATCAGTGACAGCAACACAGAAGCCAGAAAAATAAAATAATATCAGCATCGTAAGAAATAGAAACTAAATGTAAAAACAATAACAATAACCAGTACTAATGCCATAGAAAATAGTGTGGAAGCTACACAAACCACTAACAACCCAAGGCGAAACATTAACAGCCTAGTCCCGCCCTCGGAAACAACGTAGAAAAATGCTCGACTCCCTCCTAATTACCTCTCCTCATACCTGCCAATGTCAACCGCTCACACCTCCTAACCGGGGCATCTATACTTCTCATCCGCACGTGCCCGAACCATCTAAGCCTCGCTTCCCGCTCTTGTCGTCCATGGGAGCCACGCCCACCTTCTCCCTAATATCTTCATTCCTAATCTTATCCAGCCTAGTGTGTCCGCACATCCATCTCAATATCCTTATTTCTGCCACTTTCATCTTCTGGGTATAAGAATTCTTGGCTACCCAACATTCCGCCCCATGGCTGGTCTAACCACCGCTCTATAGAACTTGCCTTTAGGTTTCGGTGGCACTTTCTTGTTACACAGAACTACAGATGCTAACCTTTATTTCATCCACCCCACTCCTATACGGTGCTTGACATCCTCGTCAATCTCCCCACCCCCTGGATAATTGACCCAAGGTACTAGAAACTTCCTCTCTTGGGGATGATTTGTGAGTCAAGCCTCACGTCCATGTACGCATCCCCTGATGCATCACTGAACTTACACTCCAGATATTCTGTCTTAGTCCTACTCAACTTGAAACCTTTAGACTCTAGGGTCTGTCTCCAAACCTCTAGCTTCTCATTAACGCCGCCTCGCGTCTCATCAATCAGAACTATATCATCAACGAACAACATACACCGTGGCACCTCCCCTTGAATATGGTGTGTTAGTACATCCATCGCCAAGGCAAATAAGAACGGGCTGCATACAGGCCCTTGGTGCAATAGGAACTAGTTAACAAAAGATAGGGCATGGTAATGATACAGACCAAAGGCTTTGACTTAGCTAAAATATATCTTATGACTAGGCAGGAAATCCTTTAATTCCTCCAATCATCCTTTGCTAAACAATATTTTCCAGCAAACAAGTAGTACAACACAACACCAAGCTACTTCTGAGGACGAAGGATATGGCCAAATTCGAGTAACAGGTGATTTTCCCGCTGAAAATAAAAAAGTTATACTGAAATAGCAGAGAAGATATGACAACAAACGATCATCATGAAACAATTCATGTTAGCCAAGACAGTTTCCAAAAGCAGAAACCATGAGTCACCTGACGAATATGGAGTATGGACACACAAGTTAAGTTTTATGAACTTGCACCGTAAAATATCTTTATATAACTAAATCATTATCATACTTCATAAGCATCAAACTCCTAACCTGATAAAAATGGTAAGTAATCTGTCAAAACTACACCGAGAGTGTAAAGAATCTTTACATTTATATACCTTAAATCCTTCTTTTATTCTTTTTCCTCTTCTTCTTACTCTCCAGGATCAATAGTGATTCCTACTTACTCCTTGTAATTCTAACCCCCGACTGACCAATTAATAGACAGTTTGCAAAAGGGGAAACCATAAAATTGTTATCATGGATATCACAGAAACAAAAGACGGAACCAAGATTTCAAGTCAGTACGTCACTAATACCAAATCAACAATTGTATAAATCAGTAAGTGGGCAATACCACAAACACTTAGTGGGTGACAGTAACTTAGTATGAATATAAGAACTATACCCACGGCCAAGATAGATCGGGAAAAGGGATTGGACATACCAGGAGCAGGGCCACCAGGAGTTGAGCTGCAATTACAAGTGAAAGAGTGTGCTTTTGCCGAGGTGGTGAGCTTAGAGAAAGGATGGGTAGTTGGAAAAAGAAGAGCAGAGGAATTCCAACGTAGGAGCCGAGGAGGTTTAGATTGAGTAGGAGGAGAATAAAGTAGTGAGGAAGATGAGGATGCTGTAACTAATCCACTCATATTTCCTCTTTTCTTGGAAGCTTTCACTTCCGGATTGATTCTCCTACTTTCTGGTGCTCTACTGTTTTATTTCTATAACTTCCAAAATTCTCTTTTTCTTTTTCCTGGAAGATGGAATTTATTGGGAAGAAAGATTAGGTGAAATTAACTTATTTTTCTCAATTAAAATTTAGATATTGAGGAAATATATAGAAAGCATTCTTTTCTTTGTCTTTTTAAGATGCTAGTATTATTTGGAAAGATTCGAACAAAATTTGTTTTATCACAGTTTTTTCAGACGTTTTAATAACATTTGAGCTAAAAAGTACTTTTCATGTAGGTCTATTTATGTAAATTAATTATAGAATGTCTGTGATTTACAGTACTTTTAGATAGCTTCTAAATATATACTACTTATAAATTTTAATTTTGGATTTATGGAGTACGTTTAAAGTTAAAATATTGTATAAAGTTCGATATGAATTACACCATTTTAGAATTTCAAACTTCAAAGTATGAGGTTAAGTCATTTTTTCTATTTTTACCTTTCTGGACAGGAATTTGAAAAAATCCCATATATAGAACTAAAATGAAGACCAGAATAAATCATCAATGCTTATAGTACGTGAAGGTCTTTCACAAAATATGTACGAAGGATTGGGTATAGGTGTTCGTAACACGCAGCGAAAGACAATAATAATCCTAGGAAGATCTTTTCATGTTTAAGATTTATTTACATGTCAAAGATCAGATCTGAGACGTACCTGGTGAAGAGAGTCGTGTTTCAAAAAAATTTCGATAGTGCGAAGACTCTATGTGTATCCACACCGAGACCGACCCTTACTATCAACCCTTTGATCAATGAAACCCGAGAACAAATTGAATAAAAATTACTATGCTGAAATTTTCTCAAAACCTTCAGCTAATAACTAGAAAAATATTACCCTTCGTTTGCGGCTCTCGTTTGCGGCTCTTTCAAGAGAATTGTCTCAGATCCACATTATTATTTTTTATGTGTATATATATATATAATAAATCACCAACTCTTTCCCTATTTGGTTAGGGAAAACCAAAGGCAGTGATTTACAAGACCAATTCTTAAGTGGACCTTTTCATAAGTTGTTTACTTGAAAACATAAATCCTATTCTCAATAGGATGAGGCGGCAGACGAGTCCGGTAAGGACTTCTATGACAATCCAATTTGGATCTTAACGAACGAATCTTTGATAATATTTATATATATCTTTATATAAATAAATATTAATTATAAGCACCAAATATATATATCACATATACATATTTCAAACCAAAAGATATAATTTAATTTTCTATTCCAAATAGAAAACTTCAATTTGTTCACAATATTAATTATATCATCTATGCTAGAAAAGAATATAATAATATTTTATTTGGACTGATAATTTATTTATTTGACTAATTAAATTCTTTAATTTAATTATGAAATACTAAAGTAATTAATCCTTTAGCAAAGATCAGAACACTCGTTAGTGTGCGACTCCATAGGTTCAATACTAAGCCGGTAGTGAATTGATTACATCAATATACTAATCAAGGGTGGCGTCTAGCAACACTTCTCAACGACCGAATAGCATGAAGTATACAATTTACTCTCAAGAACCAGTAGAAGAATAATGTAGTAATTCCTTCTGTCCTTATAGCTCTTGATCACCCTAGGATATGGTTCAACTGTCAAATCCTAATAGGCGACCAACTATGCGTACATGTCAAATATAATCGACCATTGAATGACCTAAGAAACTCATTTCTTCTTTCATTCAATTGTCCTGGCCAAGGTCTTAATTTGGTCGTTTATAATTCATGACAACATGGAGCTTAAACTCATTACCAAGAGTTGACAGATTCCATCTAATCAATCACTATTCTACAAGCATTTAATTGTACCCAATATCCTTTCAACTATCTCCCTAGGGCCATAGGTGTCTGGTATCAAAGCACAATAAATAACTTATCAATTACTATGACGATCTCAGGTCAAAGGAAATGGTTACATCTCATTCTTCAAGAGAATATCCTATTGACAGATTATGGTAATTCTAACCATTAGGAATTATCCAATGAGTCGGTTCAATGATCATATCTCTATATGCATCATCTATCTATGTAATTTAGTTAATGAGATCAACTAATCTTTATCCCATAAAGACGATCACATAAATATTGATCTAATCGGATTACTAATGTCCAAATTAATAATCCTACGATCAAGAACAAATTTAGATTAAATTATAAGAAACTTTACTCTCATTATCATGATCTCCATCACAATGTCAAGTCTCAAAATTTAATCAAGGACCTTATCAAATTAATCAA